CTATCTATCTATCTATCTATCTATCTATATTATCTATCTGCTGTTGTGGTGCAATGTTTAGAATGCAATATTGCAGGCAAACTCTGCCCACTGCCAGCAGTTCAAATCTCATCAGCCTCAAGGTTGACTTTGTCTTCCATCCTTCTGAGGTGGGTAAAAAGAGGACCCAGATTGTTGGGGGGCAAAAGGCTGACTCTGTAAACCGTTTAGAGAGAGAGATGTAAAAGTACTATGAAGCAGCGTATAAATCTAAGTGCTATTGCTATTAATGATACTTAAGTACCACTTCTGATGCTGGTCCCTCCATAAAAATGGGATGATGCTATTTGTTAGCTAAGTTTTGGGAGACTCTGATTGTTTTTTTGTTTTTTGTTTTATTTGGATGAATTATGTGCCACCAAGTCATTTTCAATTCTTGGTGACCGCACCGATAAATTGTTCTGAAAACAGCTTGGCTTTTCACCAAGGCTCACATTAGTTTCTCATTTCACCTGCTCCTCCTACCTCATTCTGTCTTAGTAATATTATCCCTGTGGAGACTGGAACAGAAGTGTACCCTAGAGAGTTAAGCATTCTCGGTTCTTTTTGTGAGTAGTTTATGCCGGCAATAAACTCAAGCCGAGCCGATAAAAGCTGGAGGAACATGAAAAAGCGGATGGATCTGTACTTTTCTGGAATGACCATCTGAGAATCGTATCAAGAGCGAGATGTGTCCAGGGACACGGATTCATAACGGTTGCCTGCTTTTAAAAGCCTTTGCTGCTCCATTAACTTGGTTTTGATGGATGGCACATCGTTTTTAAACCATAAGGAATCTGTCTCAGCCGTAACTATTATTCGGACTCCTGTGTGACTTGGTGGCGATTCAAGAAAGCTTTGGCACAGCCTGCAACGAAGCCATAAAAATTAGGAGTTGGCAAAGGCCATCGTGAGCCTTTTGAGGTTTGATAGATGGCGAGATGAAAAACTCCAATTATTCCTTGGGTTTCTGGGGGATAGATCAGTGGAGAAGAATTTCCTTGCTCTAGCTCCAGAGTTTGCTTGCATTTTAAGAACTTTCTTCCCTTCTTTCTTTCTTAGTTTCTTCCTTCCTTCCTTTCCTGCCTTTCCTTCCTTCCTTCCTTCCTTCCTGCCTGCCTGCCTGCCTTTCTTTCTTTCTTTCTTTCTTTCTTTCNGGGGGGGGGGCTCAGGCTGCACCTCCATGCCCCATTTTGACTTTCAGATTGGTGCAGGAGGACCTCCAGGACCAAAACGGGGGTGCACACCACAAACCCCAAAAATGCAATGCGAGCACTCCCCGCATGCACCCCACACATGCATGGCAGAGACCCAAAGACCATCTGGCCAGTGAGAGGCACATGAGCATGCATGGTGGAGCTGGGCTGGGGTGTCGGGTGGCGTGCTTGCAGAGAGGGCTCTGCATGCCACCTGTGGCACACATGCCATAGGTTCACCATCATGGACCTATACAATATTATGTGATCATTTACCTAATTTCAAAGACTATTAGATATCTGAATTATTTTCCTACAATATTAGGTGGGGGAAAAAGTCAAGAGAAAACAATGAGAAAAGTATGCATCAGAAAAAAAGACAATTTTATCCATTTTGGTCCTTGCTTATACCTAGCTTTCTTCAATTCCATAAAATAATGGCATATCCCATCCACAAACAGATCAATTACTATCAATAGTATTAAATTGTAATTGGTTTCCACATATGTATCAAAACAGATGAACAGAATGTAGATCCTGTGTTTATTCTGTTCTGTGATATTTCATTTTGCATAATTGCCAACTCGATAGAAAATGCTATTTTACTGTAAATTAAATAACTTATTGAGTATTAAGAAATGGTCAACTGAGAGAAAACACAATGAACTCTGGGCTTTATGAACACATTTAAAATAATTCACAAAATAGTGAGAACAAAATTATGCTATTTAGAAAGACCTTGACAACATTGTGCAGAAATGTATTAAGAAGCATATGAGAGAATCAGGGCAAAGTATTAAGGAATCCTTTATTAATATTATCAGAAAAGATACTCCAGAAAAGAGTGTTTATGTGCAGATATCTACACGACACACTTGATTGTGAACGATCAGACTATTACTTGCTACTGATGTAGCTGAAGCTTGTTCAAGAGACATATACAGAAGCCGGCTTCTCAGAGACAGCCTATATACACAATGGAAATAATTCCTAATAATTTGCTAATGAAGAATTGTTATGTGGAGACATTTTTTTTCATAAAAACATTATCACTAAATAGTAAGCTAAGCAGAATAATTGCCATAATTGTACATATCTTCAACTGAATTAATTATAATAGTAAAATATACCAGAAACTGAAACTATGATTACTTTTTAAAAATAGAAGTAAACTGTGTCTATCCTTTAATGTCGATATTTGAAATAATTATTTGTATATAACAGTGTCCAGAGTATATATTTTTCTTAATAAATCTACATTTAGATGAAATATAACTTCTCAGGTATATTAATTTCAATTAAAAGTAAAACTCGTGGCATTCCTAAATGAAAATTGCCAAGTTGAAAAACGAAGGAATCATCACTTCCATTTGGTTGCAGATACTTGATTTTTGCTCAGCTTTCCTAATGCAATTGTCATGGTTAAATACAGTCATTTCTAACTTCCAGAAGTCACCTTTGGCATTTCATAATGATAATTAGTACATTCTAATTCTTCATGGAACAATGCTGTGAGAAATCTGATGGAATACAAATTCCTCTCCCACGTAGCTTACTCACAATTGTCTAACGGAGAACAATATCTTATCAAATAAGAGAGGTAGGTTTGAGGGTTTTTACACCCTACAGATTCACATCTTCCCTAATCCAGTTCTGCCACTTGAAATTTAGATATCATTGGGAGCTAATTTTGATTAAGCAACACTAGTTTACCAGCTGTAACATCTTCTGAATAGAAAAAATCTGGCCACGATCATTTGCGTTCTTGTTATCCTACAACCTTATTAGTTTGTGAGACTGCATTTACAGATAGTTAAGAGGCTGAATTTGATGCAAATCATAACTGAACATATTTAATAAAACCTTGTTCCTGAAGCTTGTCCCAAGAAAGGTCAGGTTAAAGTGCCAGGTGATTTGATTTGATTTGATTGCACTTATATGCCGCCCTATTCCCAGAGGGACTCAGGGCGGCTAACAAATCAAGGGGAGGGAATACAGACAAGGGGGGGGGGGGAAGACAAGCAACTACAAAAAGAATTTAAAAACAATCAACAGCCCCCAATTCGAGCGGGGACGGGAACTCGTCAGCCCCAGGCCTGTCGGAACAGCCAG